ATTCCATTAGCACATACTTTAATATAATATTGAATTCATTTTGGTAATGTTTTATTTGGAGAGAGGGAGGGAGGGAGAGAGAGAGAGAGAGAGAGAGAGAGAGAGAGGAGAATATTATCTGGCTTACTCTCTTTTTCCCTCAACTAAGTTGTAAGTAAATTGGATTCATATTTTCTTGCCTTATAGTATCTCATTTTGGAATCAGGAATTTTGTTAGTCTTCCACTTTTCTGATTGAGATTGTATTTGAAAATTATTAGCATTAATACTAAAGCCCATATGCAAAACTATGTGAGCTTTAGGCTTTTTGAAAGGAGTACTTTGGCTACCATTCCAAATTTCCTTTTTTTTTTTTTGTATATTCTTTTTTTTGACAGTTGTGGCATATTCTGAAAACATTTCCTGTTAATTAGATTTTTGAATTATTAGTTTATATCAACCACTTTATCTACTTAACATATTGTGCTCTCCCTAATTTGGTTTTCTTTTTAAAATCCCATATCCCTGCCTCACTCTATCTCTGAGGAGTCTTGGAAAGAGATTGTAAGTACTTAGTCTTCAGAGAAGCAATCTTAATCAATCTCTCCTATTAGTTTTTGTTTGGAATTATGTTGGTTTGTATTGTTATTTCTTTGTTTTTTGTTTCTATTAATATGGTATAGAATTTTAGTTTTCAGGTTTTCTTTCTGTGTTTAGTTTTGATTCTAATGTAATAACAGGTAAGAAATTTACTAGCCTTTATATATAGTTTATCTGTTTGTGCCATCATCCAGATTTCCCCCTTCTTTCCCCTCTCTCTTTCTGTTTTTTTTTTTTTTCCTTAGTACTTTTTCCAATAGTGTTTTCATTCTAGGTCTCTGATAAAGAGAAAATTTCTGTAGCCCTATATATTAAGGAACTTCTATTCTGCCCTTTGCCATTTGAGTGACAATTTAATTTGATATAATTAATTAATTAGTTAATTAATTAATTCCCTTTGAAGCAGATCATCATTCTCTATCCTAGGCTGGCCCTGAACTCCTCCTGTGGCTCAGGCTCATGGTAGTCCTTTTGCCTCCATCTTGAGTGTTAGAATTACAGCCATGAGCCACCACACGTGGCTTCTCCTCTTCTTTAGGATGTTGCTGTATTATGCTATATAAACTTTGTTCCAAAGCCTATTTGCTTTCTCTCTAAAATATTTAGGAATTTAATCTTTTTGTTTTAAAACTTAACATGCTGTGGTATGGATTTTATTCCCATTTGTCCTGTTAGTCTTTTCATGCTGGGATCTTCTGTCTGTCTTTAGCTTCCTTGCCTTCGTCACCTCACCTTTTTTCTAGGATGCATGCTGGTCACATATCTCCTTCTGCACCTTGATTCTTCTTTCATTTTGTTAAATCTCATCCTTTACTATCGTCTTTTAGAAAATATTTCCAATCTGATATTCTAAGTCAATCATTTATCCTTTAGCTGTGTTTATCCTTTTTTAATCGCCTCTATTGTATTTATTTATTTATTTATTTATTTATTTATTTATTTTGGTCTTTTTGAGACAGGATCTACCTATAGCCAGCTGGCCTGGAACTCACAATGTAGACCAGTCTGGCCTTGAATTCACAGAGCTCCGCCTGCCTCTGCCTCCCAAGTGCTGGGATTAAAGTTGTGCGCCACCACGCCCGGCAGCAATGTATACTTTTAAAATGATGTAACAAATTGTTAGACTGGCCTTGAACTCACTAGATCTGCCTGCCTCTGCCTCCCAAGTGCTGGGATTATGCCACTATTTAAAATTATTTTTAAATTTTGGATTCATAATTCATTTCTGTTATACTTTCTTATTGCCTTAGGTTTATTGTGTTTCTTTTAAATTATTGGTAAATCTATTCCAGTGCCTGCAGCAGATACAACCCCTTTACCAGACAATAAAGAAAATCCAAATTTTTCAGTACAGTGATGAACTGCCTGGATCAAACTTTTATAGTTTACTAGCCAGGAGTTCAGCAGGTTTGGCTGAGAAACAAATTTGTCTCAGTCCTGGCCATGGTTTGGTGCCATCTAGTGGTCTTTATCTTCTGGCTTTAATTTCCATGAGCCCAATTTCATTTTCTTCGGTGAGCTCCAGATCAGTAGCAGTTTTAAGACACTCATGTTTAGTTGCCTTTTGTTTTATGGGTCTGAGTGTCACAGTTGTGTGGGAGAAATATGGGTGTGTGTGAACCCTTTTCCTCCCTACTGTTCTCTAAGGTAGTGTTCCCTGGCCTGACTTTACAGTCTACTTCTGATCTCCTGCCCTTTCCTCACTTCTGCCAGAAGGGGATGCCAGTGTTACGTGCTCAGATTTTAAAATTTCTTTGATGGATGGCTATTTTTCATAGTTGATTTCTAGATCAATTCCGATTCCTAAACTATAGCTGCTCTGAATGGAGATGTGAATTGGAAAAGGCTGAAGGCCAACCTGCAGTCATTGCTTATCTGGCAGAGAATTCTGGCCTCCACTAGATCTTTTGATCATTCTCTGCTGATTTTCTACCCAGGAGTTCTCCTTTATGTCGCAAGATGCCTAAAGCAGTTTTATATTGGCCTGCTGATACTAACACTTCGACCTTTGCTGTCCAGTTTCTGTGATGTGATGATGTTGCAAGAACAGTGTGGTAAAAGTCTCCCAAAGCATACTCCTTCCCAAAGAAGGTTCCAGCACCTCGCCCCCCCCCACCATTGTTTCCTTTTAATTTTTTTGTTTTTTCTTTTCTTTCTCTTTTATTATTTTATTTTGTTTTGTGCTTATGTATTGAACTTGAGATCTTATTATATACAAAGCACATGCTGTAACCCTCAGCCGTACCCTTTAATATTCAGTGCTAAGGGCTCAAATCTCTTAAATTTATGACTCTTGCTGCTTGAAAAAGTGTTTTTGTTTCTTTTTTTTTGTGGTATCTCCTCTCCAATTCAAATTCTATATAGTTTATAGCAGCAAAAGACATTAGCAGAGGGAGAAAAGTCTCCCACTATCAAGTCTCAGAACTTGTGTAATTGTTTCATTATGAGCTGTATATTGCCTTGGAAATATGTAGGCTCTGAATACTCCACATCACAATTTTTATTATATTTAGTTCTCTTATTGTTTACTGGAATTTATATGTAGCTTTAGAATTTCTTTTCAGTTCAGTGTGTGATGACTTCAGGAATATATCCTGGTTAGAGATTCTTTTGACCATGTTTCTACCACCTAAATAAGATCTAGAGTGTTTATCAGAAAGCAGGTTAAAGATCATCTATCTTTACTTCCTTGATTGTTTTTGTGAAAATTGGAAGGCTAAATGATTTGGCCAATACTATATAGCTAATAAGAACCTATGCCACCCTAGAGCCCAAGTTTTCTGACTCCCAACTTACCACTTGATTCTCGATGAGTGGTGAACTGCAAAATAACCTTAATATGTTCCTCTTCTAAAAGCATATTTTTCTTTTTAACAATAAAATGTCTCATTGGTATCTATTTTTCCTCTGTCGTGTGACAAGGTAGAAAGAACTGATGTTACTAAGTTCTTCTGACTTTATGCTCTGGTAGTCTGCTCAGGGTGTTGCGTAGAATAGTATACACTGGTAGCTAAAAAGCAAATACTCATTTACTCACAGTTCGGAGGGTGAGAGTCCAAGCTCGATACCTAGTAGCAGTGGGTTTCTGGCTTTCAGATGGCTGCCCCCTTGCTGTGTCCTCACAGCAGAGAAACTCTATAAAACCATGGGCCTGTGGGTTAGTGCTTATGACCCTCTTTAACCTTATTTCTTAAATACATATTTCCAGATAGAGTAATATGGGGGGGGGGCTAGGCTTTCAGAGTATGAATTTGGAGGGAGACACAATTCAGTCCATAGTAAGCTGTATGTGCTGTAACCCTGTGATGTAAATAGCATTCCTTATGGCTGCTGACATGCCTGCCACTTAAAGTGACCAGACTTCAGTTCAAGGTGTGATTAGTCTGAGGAGATTCAGCCTGATGCAAACACAAGTTTTTCTGCTGCCTTTGACTAAAGACAGCTCACATGATTGTACCCTTTTTCTATTCCAGGTAATAGTGACCCCCCTTCTTTCTTCTCTCCTCTCTCCAGCTACAAAATCAGATCAATCCTTCTCCATCAGAATACCAAGAACTGCGATTATAGGTATATGCCTATAGGCCTTTCTTTTAAAGTTATAGCACACTTTCCATGTGAACGATTTAAGATTAAATGAATGGCCACGGCAGGCATAACCAGAATTCTTGGCTTTGCCAAATAGTACCTGTGAATGTAGATGCCTCAGTTTCTCATTGGTAATTGGATGTATTACCTTAGAGTAGCTGACAGTGAGTATTACATGGCATGGTCCTGTTAAAAAATTAGTGTTCAGTTAGTGATAATGATTATAGTCATCAAAACTTGCTACTTTGAGGCTGGAGAGACTGCTTACCAGTTAAGAGCACTGCCTGCCCATGCAGAGGACCCAGGTTTGGTTCCCAGCACCCATGCATGTAGACAATAAATACACTCATATACATAAAATAATATAAAATAATAATAAAAAAACTTTGCTACTTGTAGTGAAATCTGTGGTCGGTCTAAATGATTCTAATATTTTTCCTTGCGTGCCATCCAAAACATCCCCTCTGTCATTTAGGGTCTTTGCAGGCTTCAGCTTGTTCCATGTCCTAACTTAATGGGTGCATACCTACAGAGGATTTTTATAGATCTTACTGTTCTCAATCTATTCTAGGAGATAAGAGAAATCAGAAATCAACCTGTAGTGTTCCTAGCAATTCTTTTTTTTTAAAGATAGGAAAACTGATGGCCTAGGAAA